TATATTATATCATCAAAATCCACCTCTCCCCCCACTATGGTCTCACTTCAGATCCTTGAACTTGCTATAGTATACCACTCTTTTCACCTTCTGTCTAGACCCGTGGTCGGCAAACGGTGGCTCACGAGCCACATGCGGCTCTTTGGCCCCCTTGAGTGTGGCTCTTCCACAAAATACCACGTGCGGGCGCGCATGTACAGAGCGACTAAAACTTCGTGGCCCATGCGCAGAAATCGGTATTTTGTGGAAGAGCCGGTATTTTGTGGAAGAGCCACACTCAAGGGGCCAAATAGCCACATGTGGCTCACGAGCTGTGGTTTGCTGAGCTGCAGTTTGCCGACCACTGGTCTAGACCTACAATTTACTCCTTGTTGATGGTGATAAAATTTATCTTGTCTTCTGTGACAGTGGAAAACAAACAATTCCAGTTTTTCTTTTCTCAGGCCTTTCCTTGATTTTTCCAGGGCCTCATTGACATACAAAAATAAATTTGACAGAAGTCTGCTTAGGGCATCTATGAGAATAATTCATATTATCTATAAATTTGAAAGCAATCCATATCACCCCAAAACCAAATATAGGAAAGCTTTTTATTTATTTTTTTGCTAATCCTTACCTGAGGATATTTTTCCCACTGATTTTTTAGAGAGAGTGGAAGGGAGGGAGGGGAGAGAGAGAGAAAGAGAAAAGCATCAATGTGAGAGAGATACAACCATTGGTGCCTCCAGCATGACCCTGACTGGGGCTGGGGTTGAACCTGCAACCCAGGTATGTGCCTTTGACTCGGAATCGAACCTATGACTATTCGGTGTGAGGGCAGATGCTCTAACCACTGAGCAACACCAGCCAGGGCCAGTAAAGCTTTCTTAAACATTCTTAATAAATAATGGCCTAGATACTATCTGAACAACTCCAGTGATAGGGTGCTCACTGTTACTTCACAGAAACAGTTCTATTAATATTTTTTAGGATGTGAATGAAAAAGGGGGTATGTGTAAGTTCAGTGACTGAAGTAACCTCACATGGTGATCTGGTCATAAATTCCTAACTGGGCAGGTCATAATGGACAGTCACACCCCAGGCCTATAACTTCATTAGTAAGAGGTTTTTAACCAGGCCTGGCTGGTGTGGCTCAGTTGGTTGGGTATCATTCCATGCACTAAGAGGTTGCTGGTTGGATTCCAGGTCAAGGTACAAGCCTGCGTTGTGGGCTCAATCCCCGTAGGGGACATGTAGGAGGTAGCAGAACAATGTTTCACTCTCATGTCGATGTTCCTCTCTCTTTCTCTCTCTAAATATCAAAATTCTTTTTAAAAAAGGTTTCTCAGCAAGTACTGTCCATTATTCTTGTGCATCTAGGTTACCCCTTTGAAATGCCAGAAGTAATCTTTCCAGACCTCCTTTAAGGGAGCTTGTTAACTATCTTGTTAACTATCCTGAGGTCCAATCCTGTCTTGCTTTTTCCCATCTATATATATAAAAGCCTAATATGCTAAGTGTCCAACCGTTTGGTCAACTGCTCAACCAGTCACTATGATGCACACTGACAACCAGGGGGCAGATGCTCTGACCAGTAGGTTAGCTTGCTGCTGGGGTCTGGCCGACTGGGACTGGGAGAGACGGGCCAGACATGCCCTGGAGCCCTCACGTGGTCCTTCCCCAGCCAGCCGGCCCTGATCAGCCCCGATGGGGACTGGGTGCGATGGACCAGACATGCCCTAGAGCCAACCTCCTGCGGTCCCTCCCTGGCCTCTAAAATACTTCTTTTCAATGTGCATGAATTCGTGCACTGGGCTTCTAGTTTTCATATAACCTTCCTTAAGTTTCCTCCTTAATTCCAATGCATAAAAGAAACTGCAAAACTGTTATTCTCTGCAGCATTTGAGATCTTGTCATTAGTTTGGCTCAAATAAACTTTTACAAAAATTCTCTACAAGTTCACCCTGACCGGTTTGGCTCAGTGGAGAGAGCGTCGGCCTTCGGACTCAAGGGTCCCAGGTTCGATTCCGGTCAAGGGCATGTACCTTGGTTGCGGGCACATCCCCATGGGGAGTGTGCAGGAGGCAGCTGATCACTGTTTCTCTCTCATTGATGTTTCTAACTCTCTATCCCTCTCCCTTCCTCTCTGTAAAAAATCAAAATATATTTTTAAAAAATTCTCTACAAGTTTGAAACTTTCAGTAAGAAACTGACACCTTAAAAAAAAGAAATTGACACCTTACTTTCAGGTATGAATAAAAGCCCCTTTAGTAGTCAACTATCTTTTCTTGTACTCTATACTTCTCTGTGCTTCTTTCACCCTTTCATTGACCCCTTCCTTCCCAAATCTTTCAACTGCAGTTTCCAGAACCTCTATTCCATGGTAATCTAAACCTACACCCTCAAAATATGCTTTCTCTGTCTTCTTACTCTCATCAAATCTTGGCTCTCCCTCTCCTCCCAGCCAGGGTACTGTTTCCTTTAAATACATTTCCCTATTCCACTTCAACATTTGGAGGTAACATGGCCCCAGCTCCTCACTGCTAATAATGGGAAGAGAATGTAAACCCCTTCTTTTAGAATGTAAATATAAAATCAGAAATAAATCTCCCTTTAAAAAGGGAGCTTTAAAAAGATATAAAGAAAACAAATGACCCCCTGGTAATGGACAAGGAGACACCTGATTGGTGGTGTTGCTCTTATATCAATCAGGGGCAAAGCAGATGTACAGTCCTTAGTTCATCCTAGCTTGAAGCCTGTGTTGGTGGCCAGAGCTGTTTCATGCCTGAGGCACATACAAAAAAAAAAAAGAAAGAAAGAAGGAAAACAAATGGATGTTCTATTTAATCAGGTATCACAGGGGAAAAAAAAAACTGCCTAGCTTTAGAATATTTACAAATGTTTGCTGAGCTACAGAACCTCATTAGCAGTAACATTAGCTGAATTTGTTAGGCTAAGATCAAAGACCCTATATTTCAGATTTCACTTTGCTGTAGTCAGTTTTTCTCATGAATTTGATCACTCTTTGGTTTTTTTAACCCAACTCAAAAGCCATCTATCTTCAACACTATTTCCAAACTATTACTCCACCTTTCTTACATAAAAAACCTTCCTCTTTTGTTGTACACTACCTTTACTTATTATTTTTCTGTATCTCTCCTACCTACCTCCTGGAAACTAATCTACATTCATTGAGAACCTTAGCACCCGCTGCCTCAAGTCCTGCCATCAACACCTCAGTTATGTCAGTGTCCATGAAGATGAAGTCAACCTAATACTTTAGCTTCACAGTTCCTTGACCTCAAACCAAATAATTTTCACCTTCACTCTACCTTAGTTACCTACTCACAGCCACACATTAAACTTTACCATAACCTGAACTGAACCACCACCAAAATGTATTGTTCTTTCTTTGTTATGACTCGTATCTCTAGTTTTCTCAC